ATAGCCCTGCCCTTGCGCCAGCCCTAATATCTCAACTTTATCGCGAAAGTTTCGCGAAAAAACCGTCAAATGAAATTTATACAAAATTTTCATGTGAAAAGTGTCGAGAAGTTGCGGCCAAAAAAAAAAAAAAAAAAAACAAAAACAGCGAATCAGCGAAGACTTTTGGCAAGGTGCCTGGCGGGCGCACATAGCTTAATTTGTAATGTGCAAGATCTGTGGCAACTGCCCGACTCGGAACAGACATATTGTTTACCAAACTTAGCTAAGAAGCTCATAAATCTAGTATGACCATTGTCATAATTTAAAGAATCTAAGATGCCTTGCCCAAGAGGATGGCTTATAAGGCAGTACGAGCTCTATGCTAGATTTTAAGATGTTGCCAGATTCCTGTTTCATATCGTCGGCGGACCAAACAAGCGAGAGCTCAATCGACAACTTGTTGAAGCGGTTGACAAGTGTAGATGACATTTAAAAATATTTGCATAAACGATTTCAAGTGTTAAATAAGTTATATACAAAAATTGCTACACTTGCAAATTCAGGGCGTTGCAAGAAAAAAATGTCTGCAATGCTGGCACTCCATTAAATGCATTTTGACCCACTATTTCGATATGTATTCAACACGTCACAAAAATAAAAATAAAATCTTTTGCAATCGAGTTGATTGTCCAACAATTTGTAAGTGGATTCTCGATGGTTAATTAATCGGGTAGCCATTGAAAATGTTTATCTCATTGTGGGCATTAACAGTGCTGCAAACTGTTCGACCCCCCGAAATGGTAACACACAATTTGTGCAATTTTTGCCCACTTCACAACACTCTGCTAACCAGGCCCCCCGTAAGTCCTTAGTCCCTTCAGCACTTCTCGTAAACTTTTCGCGCCAATCGACGCTCGCCATTTACATTTTGTTTTAGTTGCTTTTTGTGTGAATTTTGTTTTATTTACTTGCCTTTTTTTTTTTATTTTTTATATGTTTGTGCAACCGATACCAAAACAAATGCATGCACTGTGCGTGTGTGTGTGCGGTTTATTTTATTTTTTTTTTTATCTCGAATGTTGCAGCTCTGCAATTGCCGCTGGCCGGCTGCGTGCCGAGTTTTGTAATATTCCCCGATGTCAGTTTGACGCAAAAAACTTTTTGCGGAAAAACAAACCGGAATCGCAACGGCAACGGCAACGGCAACGGCAACGGCAACGGCAACGGCAATGGCAACAGCAACGGCAACAACCGAAAAAAGAAGCCAACATTTTGGCATTTAATTGGAAAATTAAATTTAACGCTGTTGCAATGCACAGGGCGAACGTGACGTATACGCGATGAACGCGCGCGCTTATTTCAGTCAGAAGCAATTTGCAGCGCAATCAACGCGCAACCGTCAGAGCTTCCAGGTAATATCCGAGCATAATACATTTAAAATATTTTCTATCCCACCGTGTGCCCACTTTAGAAGCTGACGTGTCAAGTGCTCGCTCAGCTGTCTCTCCAGCTCTACAGTTCTCTAGCTGCCTCTCCAGTATGCTCTGCAACTGCCCAGCGGTGGCTGTCCCGTTCTGTCCTGTTGCTTGTGCAATTTTGCGAAATGACTGGGAATTCATTTGACAAATTGTGCTTTGGCGCGGGGCACAAAGTCAAAGTCAAAGCAGATTTCCAGCTTTTCTGTCTGCATTCGTTTCGTGCTCTGTCATTGGTTAAACAAGTGGCAAAATTAAATTTAACAATCTCCATTCTGGCTTGTAGATGCCCAGGTGGGGTTGGGTTGAAGCCACATTGTTTAAAGTGCTTAACAAGCAGCTGGCCGCACACCTTCCCTTCGTTCGCAGGGCTCCCCCGCACCGCCACTCCAAGCTCGCTGTGCTACAAACTCAGTCAAAGAAGTGGCATGAAAAATGAAATGAAAACCAACAAGTAACCGCAATCATTGCTCGACTCGCCACTCGTTAGTAGAGACAGCAACCGGCAGCAACCGGCAGCAGCAGCAGCAGCAGCTTCAGCAACAGTGGCAGCTTCGTGCGGCAATATCCCTGGCCATTCCAGCAGGCTTTGGCCCCTAGTAGGGCGCTGAACTCATTTGGCTTTGGTGTTGGTCTGCTTAGTGCTTGGAAAAGTGCTACAAGTGCAGGCCAGTCAGTCAACCCGTCTCTCAGTCCGTCAGTCCATCCGTCCGTCCGGCTGTCCGACTGTCCGGCTGTCCGTCTGTCAGTAGTCCCATCCGTTTTGCAGTCATTCAAGTTCAGGCTGGCTTTTGATTTGTGGCACTGACACTTCTTGCCCATGGAATAAGGCTTTGATTTTGTGGTCGCTCTGCCTGTCCGTCTCTCTGTCTCTCTGTCTGCCTGACTGCCTGTAGCCGGCACCGCATGCACCACTCGTGCATTAAGTAATTACTTCTTTGTGCCCCAGCCGACGAAAGTGCAAATTCATTGGAATGTTGCACTGTGCCTCAGCTCTTAGCACGCATCCGACCCGTCGTCAAACAACGATGTGCACTAATTAAAGAGCTCGCAAATGCTAAAAGCATTGCACTAGAAGGCGTGACACATTTAAAACGCTTTTGTATTTGGATATATGTATGTGTTGGCCTGACAATTTGATTATGCGGCTCAATTATCATGCTGATATTTCGATTCAATATCGATTCGGATATTTGCGTATTTGTTTTTTTTTTTTCTTTTTATTTATTTATTTTCTGATTTTCCCGCTTTTGCTGGTAAGCGCTGGTGAAAAAAATGAACACTGCTAAGCGCTTTTATACGTTTTTTTATTTTTTATTTGTGCTGTGATAAAATCCGTTTTTGTGCAAACTTTCTAATATCAGTTGAAACAATTAAATCAATGCACTGTAATTTAGTTATGTTCATAAAGCTGAAAATCTTTGATAAGCAGTTAAGCTTTTTTCTATAATTAGGCTTTAGGAAATTTTCAACACTGAGAATAAGTTGCGAGCTTTCAGTTTTAAGTCATTTACGTAAGTGAGCTTTAAAATAGAGCTTTAGTATTTAAACTGACGTTTCTTAATTTTGTTTTAGCTGACATCCTTTGCACCTTTAATTTTTTAAAGCTTTTGCCAATCAATGGAGAAAACTGGGCAAAATAGTTTTTTATATAAGATTGAACTATTTTGGTAATATTCATGTTTTTAATAATTCTTCTTACTTAATTGATCTTTAAGCTTTAAGTAAGCTAAATTACAATTGTTCAAATTAGTTTAAGGTATAGTACTGAGTTTAATTGTGTTTAATAAATGCATTTCGGTTAACTTTTCAATTTTCGTGCACTATTACTTGAAATATTTTTGTATATTTTCGGCTTGATATTAACTCTAAATTTATGCTTCTCTGGTCATTTCTGGCTCATTTGGAAACCAGTTTTCCCTACTGCTGCGCCTTGCCTTGGATTATGACTGCAAATGCGAAACAATTTTCCCATGCGCCCGAGCATACATACATATCCTTAAGTTGAGCGGGTGGGGACTGTATATAGACAAACTGACGGCTGGGTCTTTAGTAAGTCGAATTCCAAGGCAATTGGCAATGCAAAGGAATAACTTTGCTTATTGCATTGAAATGCAATTGCGATTCGCAACTGTTCGAATGCGGGGTAACAGGGCGGGGTTGCTGGTTGTGGAGGAGGCCCAACAATATCTAGCACATATTTGGGTGAAGAGAATGTGAAATAAATTTTGTACAGCAGCAGCCAAAAAGCGGAAATTTCCAACATAATTTCGTTGGTGTATTTTATTATAAATAATTTTTTTTCCTTTTTGCTATATTTTTTTTCTATAATTTTTTGCCCAAAATTGCAGAGCAAAAGCTCGCGGCCAACGACTGACAGATGGAAGCAGCTGGAAGGACTGGCCAAAACTTATGACCACTCAATAAGAGGAAGGACATGAAGGAGCAGCAGATGAAAATATGTAAGCTGTGAAGGATGGCAATGGGGCAAGAGGGATATTCGATGCTGAGCGAAATATAAATAAATATAAAGAAAATAAGTGCATGCCAGAACCAGAAACACTCAAAGTTTATGAAATACGCGTCGCCGCCAAAGTTTCCTTATTTTTTCTTCAGTTTTTTTTTTTCGTTCTTCATAGCTTTTCTTTCTTTTCTTTGCCCGGCCCCGCTGGCCGCCACGTAAAACAAAGTGGAGGCCAAGGAGCAGGACACATGTGTGTTGCCTTTGGTGTCTGAGTATGTGTGTGTATGTGTATCGCCAATTACTGTGTCTGTTTGAGCGTACAAAGCGTTTTATGAACCAACTCCGAGCGCCCCTGATATACCGCCACCCACTCTCCCTTGCCCCTTGTCCACGCCGCACCCCGTTGAGATGGTCGCCTCGCATTTAGGATGCAAGACATGCCGCCTGGACTTTGTCGAATAACTTTCCGCCGTGGTCGTCCACAGCGTCGACGTCGTCATCTTTGCTACTATTGCTCTTAAAGTTGTTTTTTTCGCTTTTGATTTTATTGCCAATTGACCAACTTTTTAGGTCGATTGCCTCAGCAGTTGGCGGCGGGCAGCGGCCGGCAGTCAGCGGACTGACCAAATGACAGGACAGCTGCCCTAGATGAGTGTTGCAGTGGTTCAGTCGGACATACAAGTTACCTGATTTGCAACGGGCAGGTCGCGGCCTTTGAGCGGGCTCCAGACTGCCAAGTACCTGCGGATGGACTCTAAAATGGCCGGGGAAGTTCTGCCGGAACTCAATGCCATCAAAGTAGCTCAAAGTCCATCGAAAGCTATAAAACATAACGAAGTTCGAAGGCAATGTTTACATTTATCGATTAGCTAAAGCCCCAAATGACATTAGCGATACAAACCGTAGCAAGTATATCAGTGTTGTGTAAGGGTAGAGTTTTTAAATGAATCGATAAAAAAGGAAATAGACTTATTAATTTGAGAATCGTTTCAATACTGCATGCTACAAATAAATCAAGCATATTACTGAAAGTCAACTTTCAGATAGATAAGGTTAGCTTATGCAGTCAAACCCCGGGGTTGAAATTAGCGTGGATTCCTGTGGTCTGTGGATTCCTTATACAACAACTTGAATTTTCTCTTAACATTAGTCTGTCATAATGCAAATCAAAATGCCCCAATTATCGAGTTAGGGCACATTTTAAGCTTACTTACAACACCAGAACATCATTAGCTGCTGAAGGGAAATGAAGTAAAAGCACCAAAAAGACTTTAGGCAAAAGGGATTGCAAGGAAGACTCGGACTGGCTGTTATGAGATTCGAAGAATTCGCCATCTCGCAAGATGCTAAATATATGTGAATGAGGCGAAGAGTCTGGCAGAGGAATAAACTTTTATAACAATGTTAATCTTTAAGGTAATTGCAATGTGCAAAAATGCCTGCCACAAATCAGAGCCAAAAGAACTCGACGCGCAGCGGTTCCGGCATTGGAATTACAATCAGAATCAGAATGACGTTCAGCATGGAAAACTTGAGGGCAGCTGAAGCTTAGAACAAAAGACAAGTTGCGGTAAATTTGTAATGCTACTTCCTGGCTTCACATGAAGCACGACAACAATGCCACACACACATACACAATCACATGTGTGTGCTGAGCAGCATAATAAATGCGTGATTATTTGTAGGTTTTATTAGGTGAGCGCTCAACACGCCAGCGGGTGGTGGCAGCCATAGAAATTGACAAAAGATGAGCAGGTGAGGTGAGGCGGCAGTCGTGGGCACAACTTAGGCAGCCATACAAACAAGAGGAGGGAGCACACGGGGCACAGTGCAGGCATAAGCGAACCGGAAGCCAGCTGCCATCAGGCTGCACTGTGCCAGCCAAAGGAATTGAGGTAATCCTACGGGCAAAGTCCTCGGCACAGTCGCAACTTGAATTTGTTTTCCATGTTGAGCAGCTGAAGCGGAGCCTCAAGTGCCACCAGCTACGGCTACGTCTGCGGCCACGGCTACGGCTATGGCTAAGAACAACGAACTCAGGACTGCAACCAAACGGAAGCAGACAATGCCAGACATTGTTTATTACACAAAATAAGTTATTGTTAATAAAAATTTTACCTGTGCGTGGGCGGTCTGTGTGGGCCGTGGCGTGAGAGATCTCAATCCCCCAGAACCAAATCCCTTACTGATATGCTGCCAGTGTTGCTGGATATGTGGGTGAACGGGGCTGAGTGGCGTCTTCTTTCACATTGTTTGTTTGCGCAATTTGTGTGCAAGTCTCTGGCTTTATTTTGCCTAAGCGCCACCCAAGCAGATCCCCTTTCTTTTCTTGTCCACCCACTCCCCAGCACTCCCCCTCATCGCTGTCCTACACTTTACAAATCCGGCCAATTGGTTGCCGTCTGCATCTGAGCTTATGGCTTGGCATTAGCGTTGAGCTGGAGCCACCTGTTGTTGCCTGCCACAGATACCCAGCCAACTCTGCCACCTTCCAGGCCCTGTTGCTTACGCCTTCCGTGTCTTCCAGCTTGCAGCTTAGACGCTTTGGCGCGTCAAATTAACTAAGCTTCTGCTCGATTTCGCTTTTATTTCTGTTTCATCTTTCTGTTATCTAAACAGTGACTGCAGCTGTTACTGTTACGACCAGTCTGTTACTATTGTTGCGAACACTCTGTTACTGCTGCTACTTATGTGTTTGTATTTAAGCCCTTGGAGAGGGTATTCTTAGTTTGTAACGAATTGCGTAACGCATTGCTGAAGACGTCTCGTTTACTTTGAGCCAAATGACGATTAGGGTATTTAATCTTCGGTGTGTTTTGTTTTTTATTTAATGTTGCTGTTAGTAGCGCTCCAAGAAAAATGCATGAATCAGCCAGTCCCTGGTTTCTGGTCAGAGCTTGGTTCATCCGTTCTGTTGCCGAGCACGAAAATAACCTCTACAGTGAGTCTACTAAAAGATCCGAATTTATCGGGACTAAATTGGGGAGGGTCGAGATAGGAGAAATCCCTTGCTTGTAATCCCATTAGGTGGTGTGCATGTATGTAGATGTGTAATAGATCTTACCAATATGAATTGCTTGCTGTTACTGTCAATATCAGTGTTCCTGTTACCTTTACCGTTAGATCTGTTACGTTCATGGAATCGCTGCGTTTACTGTAAAAGGAAGAAGTTTCTATATTTTCTTTGACTTAAATATTTGTCGCTAACATTTAATAGCTTGGAGTAGACCGCAAGGCACCTTTAATGCGCAGTCTCTTTAGCTTAAGCTATGACTGTTGTTGCAACTATCAGACGATGGCATTAAATTCTGCCACGCCCACTCGTACCCACCTTGACGCGCCCCCGAAGGCAACGACGAGTCGCAACGTTGCAGCTGAAAATACTCTTGACTTAAAAGGGCCTCTGGCGTAACATGAAATTAAAAATTTTGGCAGCACTAAAAACCCAAATTGCATGCGCGTGTGTGTGTGCGTGTGTGTGTGCGTGTGTGTATGTGTGTGCGTGCATGTGGGTGTGTGTGCTCAACAGGAGTCTTCAAAAATGCGCGCATGTCGCGAGCACAAAGTTTATTGCACCATATTTTCTCGAGCACCATACGCACAAACACCCATGTGTACACGCACATACACAGACAAACGCATGCACACACACACGCGCACACACACACACACACACACGCGCACGCAATATGCATGCAGTTTTTATCACACAAGCAACGAAAATATTTGTCTTGGTCCTTTTTGGCGTGCCAAGTTTGCAGGCAACTGGCAAAAATTGTAGGCAAATTTCGTCGAAAGCCGACAACAGGACGTTGTCGGGACAATTTTGGCGATTTACGTTGCCAGCAGCAGCAGCAGCATACACACACACACGCATACACTGACGCTTTGAAAAATGGCTGGCAATGGACTACAGAAGTCTGTGGTGGAAGCTGGGAGTGGGAAGTGTTTTGGGAGAGGAGGTCTCTGCACTGCAAGTTGCGATTGCAGCCTGGCGCGTTTTGTTGCCGGTCGCATTGCGACAATTAAACACACATAGCAGCAGGAAGCTGCCCCTCTCGCCATCCCTGCCCCCTACCGCCTGCTTGCACTGTCAACACTTTCAGCGTGGGCCCGTGGTGCGGCCTGCCAACTGGAAGCGGGACAGCTGGCAACTGGCAACTGGCAAGCGGCTCAGACACTAACGACAACTAACGAAGCTAAACGCATGCAAACAGCAAACCTAAATGCATTTGCAAGGATGCCTGCCACAGGACTCTAAAGGACGGCCAAATGAATGTAGCTGCAACGTGCAACAAAACAAAAAAAAAAAAACAAATACATGATACTAATACGCACACCTCGCACTATACATTTCCCGGGTCTCAGAACCAAAATTGTTATGGCTCTGGCTATCAACATGCCGCCATGTTATTCGGCGCAATACTCCTGTTGGCTGAGAAGGAAGCAGGGATCAAGCTCTGATTTCTCTTTGCATGATTTGTTTTTGTTTTGTGTAGCCACTTTGAATACTGACAAAATGTTCAATTCTTTAATAAATATTTTTTTTTCACGTCCAGGATCAGGCGATCCTGCAAGCTAGCCGACAAGGCTGTCTCTCGACCTATGAGCACAGCACATTGACAGAGTGAGAGAGAGAGAGAGGCAAGTAAGAACTCTGACATCTTGAATAAGGGTTATTAAAATTGGAAAATCTCTTTTATGTGAGCTTTTTATTAGTAATGAGCCTAATGCTATTAAATAGATCTGTTTTGGATATCCCACAGAGCATATACCAAGTTTTGTGGCTGTGGCTCAAATGTTTACCAAGCTCTTTGGCTACATTAGGACGCACATTGCGACTTGTTTCCCTTAAGTAGTGATTAACGCCTCAGAATTAGCTGTAGTCGTTTAATATGGCCGTAATTAGTTGCTGGAGTGAAATTAATGAGTTGACCAGCTCGTGGGGATGGCTAATTAGCATAAATTAACATAAGTGAGTTTACAACAACTGTTCAATTGTTAAAATAAACACCCCCAATCAATTTGCAGTAGCACAAATGGAGGTTGACGGGGCCACTTACATTTGCCAAAGCTGAAGGTATAAATACCTTTGCAGCTGCAGGCAGTTTGCATTGATGAATATTTGAAATTACGTTTCACTGGGCAGTACTGCAGCCGATGTCAGTCAGTTGTTTTGGCAGCATTTGCGGATGCTGGCAATTAATCTCTGTCCCTACTGCTGTTACCCACTATAAATTGTTGTTGATGTCGCTGCTTTCACATTCACATTCACATTCACATTCACAGTCGCATTCGCATCAATGTTTGCTTGATGTTCGATGTTTACCCGTTAACAGTTTGTGATTTCATTTAAGTATTTCATTGGGATTTCGACATGCACATGTGCCAGTGGCTCACATATGTAAATCACAAACGGATTTGTTGCCCCTTCCAATTGCACTTGCAGCTGTGCACCAAATGGCTGTTTGGTGCTTAATGTGGCAGCTACAGCTTAGCACTCAAATAAAGCAATGCCTGTCAGGGCTTTAGCCTTCACATATATATATATATATATATCTGTATATATATATATATATACATATATATTGTCTGACCAAATGACTGAAAGCTCAATAACATTTGGTTTGGGCATTCAAATGATATTGATAGCGAGTTCAAATTTCCGTTTGTATGTTTGTGACTTCAGCTGCAGATGGCTTAAGGCAGCCATCTAGCCATCCGGCCATGCTACAAATTGAAAAATGAGAATATGCACACGTTCATTACACAGATGATCTAATTGCAACTTTTTACTATTTTTAAGCCGCTCGGACGATCTTTTAATGCACTGTCAAATTGCATGTAACCGTTTTCCATCAATTTTCCACACTTGTAGGTGGCATTCTGCAATACCCGGTCTAAATGAAGCTGCAGAAAATGAAAGCTCAGTTAATCAGTCAGGATCAGTCAGGAGAAGCTGTTTTATATATAGAGATAAAATTCATTTGATTCATTCAAGAGAAAAAAAAAAAAACTATTTAAAACAGCTTTTTCGAGAAAACGATGAATATCGATTATCTTCCGGATATATTAGCTACTAGCAAAATTACTACTAAATAAATACAAAGCAGCAAATATATTACAAATTAACCAAAAATTTAAAAGCAATTAAGGATATCTTCTGGTCGTACGCTGTCTCTCTACAATTTCCTAGAGGAATTCATTAAAAGGGCAGCAACTAGATTGCGTTAAACAAGCGCATTGGCCTACACCTGTGTTTTGTGCTGTCCCGCTGTAATCAACAGGCTCGTTAAGGTGCACAGTTGCATGCACCCACACACGCACACACACACACACAAAAACTCCACTGCCAGGAGCAGAGCAAACACTTGGCTCGTCATCTGTCAGGCAGCCATTTAAGCCGATTGATTGACGCTAATAAAATGTACAACACAAAAGCGCAACAATGCGGATGCCAGGGAGTGGATAACCGGCTGGGCTAAGGGGCATACTGATGGAACGGGTGTGGGTGTGATCGGGCTGGGCAATAGCAGGCGGCGCACTGCCTTTTTGCTAACTTCCGCTTTCCGTTGGCACTTTGGCAACAATGAAGCTGGAATGGGCTTGGCCATAAACGGCTTGCGGAACTGAAGCATAAAGCGGTTGCCTCGGAAAGCGTTCGCTTATTGATGGCAGCTGCCAAACTGGCGGAAGCAAGTGCCGGGGGAGGCGTTCGGAGCTGGGTTTAGTGGACGGCGCGCTGCACTTTCACTGAAAATCACATAACGGCAACAATAAGGAAATCGCATGTGAAAGGCCGCCAGCGGCAGTAAGCGGAGCAACCAAAAGAAAGCACAAAATGAAGAATCAAGAGCAGAGAAAGAGAGAGCGGGTAAATGTAAAAAGTGAGGAGGGCAAAGAGTGGAGCCGGCTGCCATTGTCCTTGGTGGTCCTGGCTGTGGTTGTCGACTATTTATGAACTGTAAGCCGTGTACAAGTTTTGCCTCAAACACACACATACCGACATACACACACACACACACACACGAACACAACCACAACAATGCAGCGACTCCGGCAACAGAAGTCGGAGAGAGGCAGAGCCAGAGGGGCCAAGCGTAGCATTAAGTTGAAACCACTT